GCCCCACACATGCGCTGAACTGTCCCAAACAACCCAAATCGAAGCCAAACCCTCGTGAGTCAGACGACCTGCGCCACGGCACTTCCCCACCGGCCATCCCTGGGGCCTGTCATGCTCCACGGCTCCTAGGCTGTGCACAGAGCTACCACTAGTCCTCTCCCTGCACTAGATGCAGGGAGAACACCTGATTCCCGGAGCAGCTCTGCTAAATGGGCGAGGAGGCCACATGTTCCAACCTCGTCTAACCCCACAAGAGGAAGACAGAGCCACCGTCAGTAGCCCAAGGCCTATTCCTGCGAGGCCAGACATGCTGCCTCCCTCCAGCCCTTTCTCCAACCGTTCCTCCCAGAGCACCCACCACCTCTCTCCTGGGTTCGATAATTCACTGCAGTGGCCACACAGAACCCACAGATTATGGAGTTTATTAGGGAAGCACCAGGCTACAATTCAAGTTCAGGAACAACGCTCAGTCTCTCTCCCAGCCCACTGTCTCTCAGCCAAGTCTCTCTCAGTCTCTCCCCCAGCAGTGCATGTCCCTCGGTGTCTTACTCAGCAATGCGTGTTTCTTGCATCTCTTTCCCAGCAGCGCATCTCTTTCAGGCGCGCATGTCTCTTTTGGCAGCACGTCTTCCTCAACCAGCAGTCAGAGAGCGTTCTACCTCTAAGAGGCCTCCTTTTGAGCCCAGCAGGGTAGCCAAACTAGCCAATCATAGCATCAGAACTCTAAGCACCTGAGAGAGAGTGGGCACCTCCCAGAACATTGTTTTGTGCCACTCCCAACAGAAATACCCCAGGTGGACACCTTCAGCAATCAGGAGCACCTCAGTTGCTCATAGCAAATCCCACCTTGGAGTTTACAAAGACTTATGGGTAGAAAAGCCACACTAAGAAATTTACCACACCACAAGCTCTCCAGCCCTTTCTTCCTGGCCTTCTAGCAGTCTCCTCGAACTCCCAAAGTTCTTCTGCCAAGCTGCTTTCCTCCCAGGCCCTCAAGAAGGAAGGACAGAGACACAGAAGAGCAACCTTCCGAAAGGAGCCCACACTGCCCTGCGCTCGGTCTAGGCCGGCCAGCCACACTCTGGGCAACTCCAACCGCTGCCCTGTTGACCTGGGTGGCTGACTCTTCCTCTGAATCTCCCACCTACTCTTCAGGGACCAGAAAAGTCTTCCACAAAATTAACCAAACCTCAAAACTCACTGCCACTGAGGTGATTCCTCGTGATCCCCACAGGGTTTCCAAGGCTGTAAATCTTTACAGAAGCGGACTACCTCATCTTCCTTGGCTGGAAGGTTCGAACCACCAGCCTTCTGGTTAGCAGCCCAATGCCTTAACCTCTATACCACCAGAGCTCCTTTAATCAAACCCAGTTCTAGGCATTTCAAATGACTCCAGCATATTCTCAAAAATAAAGCTCTTTCAACTGGGATCTTAAAAGCTAGCAAGCTGCCATCTAGATGCAACGATGGGTTTCCCCTCGTCCAGAGCAAAGAAGAATGAAGAAAACCAAAATTCATGGAAACAACTAGTCCTAGCAACTGGTACACCATCTGATCTGCAGCCTATATGA